GACTGGCTGAATAAGATGTTTGGGAAGTGGAAAAATATAGTGGTTTCAGTGTTGATTTCTCTGATCTCCATTACAGGCCTCTTGATTTTGTGTGGATGTTGCTGTATACCATGCATCCGAGCTCTATGTATAAGGTTAATTACAACTTTGAGCATTCTTCGTAAAAGAACATGCAAGGACCGGTTTAGTCCAACAGAGGCAACAGTGGAAACATACATAAATTACCAAGTAAATAAATAAATATACAAGATAGCCTCCATATACACCGCAGGTATACCTTTTCATATACTATCCCAAATATTAAAACCCGTAGAAAAATTAGAAATTTAAACTTGAATCACATCATTTATACATGTAATCTTACCACATTAAAATTTTGATTGTTGTGCCCTTGCTGAGAGCACCTGGCCTGTGTCTTGAGTGCAGTCTTTTTTGATCAGCAGTTGGATTAAAAATAATAGCACAAAACAATTTTTAAATCCAACTGGTTTGTACCCCAAATGCAAGTATTTGCATTTGTGTTTCCATCAGCTATACTCTAAATGGAAAAAACAGTGTAACCAAGAACACCAGCCGTGTGAGATTAACTTAACATAAATACAATATAAAACACAAAAAAGAGACCAATACACACATAGTTCAACATTTCCCAGTTCCCAGATCAGAATCCTAAAGAGCTTTCTTTTGGTCTGAAATATAATGTAAAACAGTGGAAAAACACTAGATTTACAAACTAAATACAAAATATCCTGGGGGCCCCCTAGTGGGAGGGTGTTTGTTCAAAACCAGGTTAGGGCCATGCATAATAATGTCAGTTTGGTAGAGATCCATGCTATTTCTTACTTAAATGATTAGTTACAGTAATTCAAACAGGAAACTCAGGAATAACTCCTTTCTGGTTTGGCCCAGCTTTAGCCACTTTTGTCATAAGTCCTTAAATCTCAGTACATAGGTGGCTAATCCCTAACACTCACTCTCCCAACCCCTAAACCCTAACCCTGCCAATCCACTAGCCTAACTCCACTAGTCACCTATCCCTAACCCTAAACAGAGCTGTAAATCTGCTCAGGTCACTTAGTCTGCAGCCAGATTCTCGTGAATGCTACCAGTCACAGAATGTTAATCTGAAACCAGTCAGCCAGTTACCTAAAATTTTGTCTTTTTAGAAGTATTATAACAGGTTTTTATTTTTAAATATTCTTGTAAATTACATAGTAACAATTCTTGCCACCACATCATCACCAGGTTTTGGTCTCAAAGCAAGTGGAATGGTAACATCACAGTACTGAAATGTATCTTTTTATGCATAATTTCAAAAATTCCTGATTCTTGCTAACCAGGTCAAATACTGGAGAAAGTATGATGACCCGGAACCTGGTGCCAACCGTATATTCGTTCCAGCCACAGCCAATCAGACCAGGCTGGAGAACATGCTGCCAGACTCACACTACCTCATTGAGGTCCGAGCGTTTAATGGAGCTGGCCTTGGACCCCCTGGTGAACACTGTGAGATGTTCACAAAGAGGCCACGTAAGGCCAACTACTCCATATCTTGGACAATAAACAGCTAATGAAAGTAACCATAATCCAGTGATATACAGATTTCGATGCAGTCTTGATAAATAATTTTGTTTACAGCACCACCAGAGCCTCCCAGGATGTGGCGCTATATCTCCTGGACAGGAAAGTGGCTGTATGTGTGGTGGGATCATATCCAGTATGACTGGTTTGGCAATATCTCTTTCCCACTGTACTACAAGGTGGGTGTGAGAAGCTGTGCTACTGTCTTTTTTCCCATCTCACCTAAGACAATACAAGTCTACATGCACAGAAAGAGTGGAAATGTTCAAAATCCTCTATGAATTTTATTTGCCAGGTCATGTTCAGAAAGACAGGCTACATCTATGGGAAAGTCTACATCACTGGTTGGCACTTCATGGACTTCCCCATGCCTCAACTTGGAGATTATGAGCTGATGGTGCGCGGGCGTTACGAAGGAGGAGATGGACCGATCAGGAAGATTAGGCTTATAGGTATGACAAACAATTTGATAATTAAATAAAAAATTTTTAGGGCTGTAATCAACAAAGGATTTTGTCAGTTCACTGTCAGTTTTACACACACACACTCAAAATAAATGTATGAATGAGTGTTGTAGTTTTTATTAACAGTCTGAAAGTGCTGCTCAACATTTCCCTTCTTCGGAATAGTGATGGTAGATTGGTAGATCAAGCAAACGCACTTCGAATATAATGTTGCAAAAAAAAAAGTTCTTCCCCCATTCAGCATGGAATGTTTTCGCTACATTTCCGGTTTCTTACTTGATTCGGCTCCCCCACTCATTTTATACCCTTTAGTAGAAATTAATTCGAAGGCTGACAAGGTAGTTTGCTCACTGGAGTTTTACAGTAGCTCGTGCGGTTGACTGTGCATGCTTGGTGACTCTTGTGTCAGAAAAAACGAGATCTCAGACTGGCTGCCCTGCATGTCAATCAAGTAGCAAATGCCATAGGGAGGATGGATGATAGGCTATATAGGCTTTCTGCTTTTCCTGTTAGGGGTCGCCACAGCGAATCATAACACTGACCATTCGCATGTTAACATTTGGCACATGTTTTACACCGGATACATCTAATTTATTTTTGAATGGCATGCAATCTACCAACACTACCTTTGCAATCGACGTATTGGGCACCTCTGTCCTAGACTATCTGAAAATCAACTGGCATTAATTTCAGTTATGATTTCTACTACATTACCATCAGTGTTTAAATGTAAAAGAGTGACAGGAACATATTTATGAGAATTTAAAAATCAATAAAAGACAGCCGCATATGATGCAAGATTTAAATTGCGACCTATTTAAAATGACAATATATAATGTCGGGCTGCCATATGGATTTGTCAGAATAAGAAGACAGCACGCTTGTATTTCTGTTAAAACAATGCACTTATAGGCAGTTTTTTTTCCTGAGACATGGTTATAGCCTAGTTTACCAACAAGTTTAACATTCTCCTGTTAGTTCACCACAGTGCATGTTGTTACTGTGCGTTTGATGTGTGCCAGCTTGCACTGTGAATGATTCCCCTTATTTATAAATCATCACTGAAATGTTTTACACACTCATTTATGTTAGCTTCTTAGTCCCGTTTGGATGTATGTATGTTACAGTAACAGTCAGTAAACAGCTGTACTTTGCACTTTAATGGAGCTGGGTAACCAAACTGGACTCCCATAACATTAGGCTATGCAAAACCAGCCACATTGTCATGACACTGTCTACTTGTAAAAGCAGACGATGATATTTGAAACCACTTCTAATAAAGTACAAATCTCACTTTTATGTGGCTTGCCTTAGTGGGTTTTGTTGTTCTTTTCTCCTCCTTCTGCAACTTGCTAAATAGATACGACCTTACTGTACATCCATGTATCGGACAGTGTTACCATTGAAGTGGGTAACCCCCACCCCTGCCCACAGGGGGAAGCATTGAGCAAATTTCTGCTTAGCACACTAAAATGAGGAGAAGAAGTCAACAAACTACCAGGGGCTGGTACTACCTTCTATTGTAATGCACACTGGCTGACAAAAAATGAAATATAATAAAATAAAGACAGGCTTGAATAGAAGAGTCTCGGTCAACTGACAGGTCTCTCGGCTAATGGCTCCACTGTTCGACTACTGGTGCAGCCCTAGTTTTTTTGTCCTCATTTATGTCATGATGTTTCTGCTTCCTCAGGTAAAGGATCTAGGATCATGCCCACTTTAAGCCTGGTGTCTGTGGTGCTACTGGCGCTGTGTGTTGCCACATTGGAAATTTAAGCCTGCCACAACTGACATGTACAGTATTTAACAGACTCTGGGAGACGTATGTTTGGATCTAATAGAAGATCCACTGTTCACCTCCCAACATTCTTATATTTATTGGTTAAGCTACTACATCAAGCATCTGTTCTGCTGTAACACCACACTTGTGGAGCAAGTGTTGTTTCACAAGAATAGAATTGGTTAGTTAACTTTTATGGACCTTTTACTCTGTCAAAAGAACCACAGGATACATGCAGTAAAACGTGAAACTCTTGCATCGGCCATATCTGTATACCACTTGAAGAGAAAATCCTAAATGTCCTTATCTAAAATGTCCTGTTCATTGCCCATCACTTAAGTTTCTGTTTTTTCTAATTACTCTTTCTTATATTAACTGCACAACAGTACCAAGGTAGAATCTAACCCACAGAGGGTGAAATTTAGATTTTCAGTCAAAACAATCAATAGTATGTGAAAACAATCAATAGTATGTAAAGATCTTAATAATAATCACTGCATTTAGTTTGGAAGGAGCAGAAGGATGAATATAATTTATGCCTGCTTGACACTTTTTTCTCCTTGGAGCACACTGAATATCATACTTGTTTTAAATACACTTGTCATAAGGACACAGCTTTACATTATAAAAGTTATTTAAAGTTTTGTTAAACTTTTTTAGATTTATTTCTTACAATGTTTTTAATGATGCTAGGTGACATGAACGGGGATCCTTGCTGAATGTTAATTTTTGCATCAGAATCATGTATAGACAATGTGAGATCATTTCTGACAGAAAAAAATGAAACAGTTGTATAAACTGTGAGGACAGAGTTAACCAGATATTTCTGTATGTTATGCTAATTTTCTTTGTTCTGTCATGCTACAAAACCATTAAAGAGAGTACAGTGATCTGTGTGTATATCATCTCACTGCTTGGGTTTTTGCTTTTTTTCACTTTTGAACATGAGTTTGTTGTTGATCTCAGAAAAAAAAAACTGTATTTTCAAATCAATCCATTTCACTCTTGGTCCATTTCAAACAACAATAATTAAGCTTTCATGTATGTTGAAAAATTGACCTTAGTATCACTGCTATTTCTCAAAAGTTGTATCTAAAGTTTGTGACGCACTATTTTAGATACATAATTTAAACAGGGCTTATAATAATGTGTTTCCTATTTTAACAAACAGTTTCTTGTTTTCGTTTTTTCTTTTTGTTTTGACCACAAGATAGCATTATAAAGACAAAATGAAAGGAGATCGACAATGCAGGTGATTTTAATGATCTAATAATGGAAGAATGTAATTATCCAATAGAATGCCTTGTCTGGTGGCTAAAGTGTATATAAAGTGTTTTTGTAGTCAGCATTATTCTAGTCAGCTGCAATGTTAAAACCAGAAACAAGAAAGTCTGTAAGGTCATCAGGAGTTCCAGGGTTACCTGAATCAGTGCAAAACTGATGGGGTTGAAGTACTTTTTCACTTGAAATTTGGTGAACAAGAACAATCTTTTTGTTACTTCCCTGTCATCTTGAATACTCTGAGCTTCCAGACTGAAATGTAATTTGTGGTTTCAGTCTGCAGATGGCAGTATCTCGACACACGATTGACTAACCTTTTAGTTCAGAATCAGAATCAGCTTTATTGGCCAGGTGTGTCGGACACATGAGGAATTTGACTCTGGTACGTCGGCTCTCAATGTGCATGTACATATCCCAATGCAAGGGGCAAGTAAACAGTAACATAACATAAGGCTGTGTAATATAACAAAATAAGCAGTTGGCCATCCCACCTTTCAAAATACAACAGAGGGTTTTGTTTTTAATTTGTATTTTTGATACGCCCATCATATCAACATTTTTTTCCACAAACATTTACAGTGCTGCAAAATGAGTTGATTAAATATTTTGTCCAGCACAACAATATTAGGCACATGTACCATCAGTTTTTTTTCCCCGCATTATCTTACTTTAGTATCATTTTGCAGAAAAACAATGAGAAGAATCAGCCCATGAGTTGAGTTACTGTGTCAGAAAAAATACAAGTTTTTATGTTTGGGTGATTTTGTTTATAAAGCAGGCTTTCTTGTATATGGTACAGTAGTCACAGTGTGGGTGGCATTTATCTCTCCTGTTTCTACCTCCTTCCATTAAATTGCATGGACACAGAAAATCCCATGTGAGGCTGAAATCAATGCCGCATCATTTACAAACAATCACAAGAGATGCACAAAGGTTGAGTTTTCCAGGGCAGGGGAGTGAGTCTTCTTCCACAGAAGGATATTGAAGAGCCTGTTGTTGTGATACAGGGTCCCTTCTGCTTTGTTTACATGCTCACTGTGGCTCTTTTGGAGCTTGGACAGAAAGAGATCATCCAAATGTGACTTTTGCTCAAATGCTGCTGAGTTTGCAAATCCAGTGTTTTGATTCAGTAGGATGACTTGCCACCCTGATTTCATTTACAGAAATTTGTTAGCAGTGAAGGTCTGATCACACATTTGCTAAGATGATATATCAAAATGTGATGTAAAGTACCCCTTCTTTTACAGCGGTAGTGCAATGTGCCATTGAGCAAAGTAAGGAACCAGAGACTAGCTGGTCTGCTGAGGTGGATAAAATGCAGAGCTGATAGAGAACTCTGTGAAATTATGTGTGACAATATGTTATGTTTTAAGTGTGGGGGATTATTTGTGGCCTGACGGATATCATGTTAAGATGTGCAGAAGCGCCACACTCCGCTGGGCCATTACTAGAGAGGTGCTTTGGTCAACTCCCCTGATCAGGGGTGCACAGGGAAGCTAAACAAAAAATAAAATGCATTGGCACAAGATGACGGAAGGCTTTCATGGAATTTATTTGCAGCAAATTTTATGAATGTTACGGTATAGTATTTATTAATAATACATTTAATTTCAAAGCACCTTTCAAAACATTGAAAGTTGCTTTACAATAATATAGAACCAAACAGTAATAGGAAAAAAATAAACAAAATATCAGTACAGGTCAAGAAATATCAAAATGATGACATTCAATGCTATGACATTCTGTGAAATATCACTAAAATTACTGAAATGAGTGAAAACAAATGAATAAAATAAAATAGAAAATTGTCCAGTCAATTAACAATGCTGGACATGATGGGTATTAAAAGTGGTCTTAAAAAACGGGTCTTGAAAGCATCTCTAAAAGCTTCAGTTTATTGCTCTTAGCCTAAGAGCAGCAGTGGTAAATGCTCTATCACCCAAAGTCACTTAATCTAGCATCTGGCACCTCAAGAAGAATAGCGGATGCACAAGTTTCAAAGTGCGGTATAGTAAGAAACTAAGTTGGTCAAATAAGTGGGTGCTTTTAAAAGTTAAAAGAAGTTGAAACTGAATATGGTATATACACTGAACAAAATTATAAATGAAACACTTTTGTGTTTGCCCCCATTTTTCATGAGCTGAACTCAAAGATCTACGACTTTTTCTATGTACACAAAAGGCCTATTCCTCTCAAATATTGTTCACAAATCTGTCTAAATCTGTGTTAGTGAGCACTTCTCCTTTGCCGAGATAATCCATCCACCTCACAGGTGTGGCATATCAAGATGCTGATTAGAGAGCATGATTATTACAGGTGTACCTTAGGCTGGCCACAATAAAAGGCACTTGTCTATGGCTTATTGCTCATTTTTGTAATACTAGCATCTTAGGTGGATGCTACACTTACAGACCAAAGCCAGACAGGAACAAAATGTCAAAGAAAGATTTTTTAAAGTTTTTAGGTAACTTGTTATACGGGAGTTGACAATTCAGCTGTTCAACCAAAAGAATAATCTGATAGTTTTTCAAAAATAGTAACAAATAAAATAATATAAAAATAAATACATGGTAAAACACTGCAAAAAGCTGGAAAGTAACTACAGACATTTATACAAATATGATTTAGCTGTGCGTTACTTGCATATTTCCATTCATGCTACTTTACACTTCTAATAATTTCAGAGAAAATATTAATGCTCCCTGAGGTTTTCACAAGCCGTACTCCTGGTTACTGCTCTTGCCCATTAAACTCACATCAGGTATACTAATCCCAAGTGACAAATACAGTAGATAAACTCCCACGTTGCACTGGTATGCTGATTATTTACGTATTACATATTCCCTTTGCTGCTTTCCATTTGATCAGAAGATGCTCTCTGACTGTCAGGTTGGAGCCGTGATAGTGGGAGCACATAAACAGATTTAATAACAGAGCTGCTGGAGCCCTTAATGCTCAAATCAGGTACGGCCTGTGCGATTTCCTACCCTCGCATGCACTCATTGCATTTTTATCAAATCCTCTCAATTTCCCCATTTCTATTCACTGAATTATCCCCATACTTACATGTATGTAGTGGTGGCTGTATTTTGCACAAGGCATTACTAAATTTAAATAGAGAATACATTTTCTATAATTTAGCAGCAGTGTTGCAGCATGAAGGGGAATGCCATGAATACTATAAGCACCAAAGGTATGGTGGGAAAGCTCAAAATGAAGTATGTATAGAAAGCAGAATACATTTAACCCATAAATCACATATGTATGACAGGTCCCCTGGCTTGCTACAGTAGCTAGTTAGCTCAGACTAGAGATGCCTGCTGGTTCCACAAAGCAGAAGAGCCTTTTGAGCAACATCAGATGGCTCCTGAGGTTTGGAAAGAGCCACTGACCATTTTGGTATAGCAATGCTGGCTTGTGTTAGCGGTACAGCTAACCTGGTTAGCAGCTTGTAAGACCACAGTTGGAGACCCCCTCCTGCTGTTCATTTGGCTGAAATGGGTTGGAGTGTCAGATCAGGAAGTAATTGCCTCTTCTATGGATTGTTTATGACCCTGTTTACCCTGTGAAAAATAGCTCCACCACATATCCCTCTTTGTGGTGGCGGCACTTTGTCAGGCAGACGTTTGACATAGGCGCTCCCTCACTATTAGTGAACAAAAAGAATGTGCACCTTGAGGCTGAAGGAAACAATTTTAGCTGTATTGTGTGGCATTTAGAGGTAATTGATTGCTTACTGTGCACTGTATACTCTCACAGAAAAGTCTTTTCTTGTCTACTGGCTAAACAGGGAACTTCTGGGGAAAAATTCCCCAGACACCCAGTACCCAGTACTATTGTGTAACTGGCTTTTGTGTAGCTCGGCAGCCTTCTGCCAGATTGGTGCTCACTCTGCACCAAGACCACCTAGTCTGCTTTGGCTGTCATGCCAAATCCTCTCTCTTCCTCTCCGTCTTGTGCTGGCAGACCTCGTTGTTGCTGAAGCTGTTGCCAGAAAAACAGTTTCCTGTCCTCGTTGAATCCAATTAAGGATTAACAGTAGTACGTCCTCAGAGCCAGGAGCCTTACTTTCTGTAAATAACTTTTAAGCCTTTGCTTCGGAGATCTTCATTCAATGTGGTTGCTGAAATTGGGAAATAGGCAGTCCACACAAATACTAAGGGTGTCACAATTTAACATCTGCAGAAGCACTGGCAAGCAGAAGAAGGGACAAGGGCATGTTGAAATGCTGGGTAAATGCTTTTCAAGATGTACATCAGATACTTCAATGAAGTACAAGGTACACAAGGACAATAGAGTAAAATTGAAAACTTTCTGAAAAAATTAGGGCATTTCCACCAATAAATTTTATTCATACTAATAGCATGGGTGAAGGTATGGCAATGTTGCTTAAATGTGAAATACTTATTATAAATCCACAACTATTGGACAAATTATTGTTAAAGTAGGTACAAGCTTTTATGATACCCAGTGGATGTATCATAATGATGCGATCCTTTAAGTTATAACACCACAATGAAGTCTTCTTTGTGTGTATGTATAAAATGTCTCAAGTTGCTATGCAAATTGATCAAATTTCAATACATACTTTTATGATCACCAGAAGATAAACCCTAACAATTCA